AAGGTCGCGCTTCTGGAGCTCGGGGCTCTGCCGCTCGAGGTACGTCTGCTCACGTCACTGGAGCTGGGAGTGGTGCTGGTCCCGGAGGTGCTCGTACTGGAGGTACTGGAGCTGCTGGGACTGGAGGTGCTGAGCCTGAGGGTGCTGCTGCTGGAGGCACTGAGGCTGGAGACCCTGGGACTGGAGGTGCCGGTTCTGGGGGTGCAGCTGGCGCTGAGGGTTCTGGAGCTGCTGGAGGTGCTTCCGCTGGTGGCGCTGGAGCTGGAGGTTCTGGAGCTGCTGAGGGTGCTGGCGCTGGAGGTTCTGTAGCTGCAGGAGGTACTGGCGCTGGTGGCACTGGAGCTGGAGGTTCTGGAGCTGCTGAGGGTGCTGGCGCTGGAGGTTCTGGAGCTGCTGGAGGTGCTGGAGCTGCTGGGGGTACTGGAGCTGCTGGTGCTGGTGTCACTGCACAGCCGCGCCTGTTCTTCGCTCCACCGTCTCCGTCGTCTCAGCCACCGCCTGACTCTGTGCTTCGCCAGGTTCTTAGTCTCCCTTCATCTACTGGTCTTCCGTTACAGCCTGGTTCACCGCTGCCTGCTCCTTCTCCTTACACTGAGCAGCTAGGGAGTCTTACTGAGCGTCGTGAGCCTGCGTCGCGTCCTGTCTCGCCTGTCTGTTCTGGTCGTTCCGGTCGTCGTGTTCCTCGTCCGCGTCAGCCGGCTGTCCCCGACACCCACCTCGTAGTCCGTCGTCCTTCCTCTCCTTCACAGCGTGTTCCTCTGCCGTCCCCTCCTGCGTCTTCTCTGCCTGTCGTTGCGGACCCCGAGTCTGACCGGTTTCGTGCTGAGCACCCTACTGTCACGCGTCTACTAGCCACTGTTGTCACTGACCCATCGTTTGAGTCTGCTGCTACGTCTGCCTTAGTTGCTGAGCTTGTTGACTTTGCTGCTGCCTGTCGTCTAGACTACGTCGCTAGTCTTGTTGCTGAGACTGAGTCTGTCTGTCCTCCGTCCGTCGGGGGTGAGTGTGCTCTTGAGGACAGGCAGGAGGACCTTGAGTGTCTTGCAGCCGCTGCGCCTCATCTCGTGTCCATGCTGCTTGCCCTTGAGGGAGACCCGGATGCTCCAGACATCCCGACCCCGCGCTCTTACGCTGAGGCGATCGCGGGTGAGTACTCCTCTCAGTGGCAGACAACCATGGATGCAGAGATGGCATCCTGGAAGTCCACAGGCACCTACGTCGACGAGGTTCCCCCACCTGGGGCGAACATCGTCAGTGGCATGTGGATTTTCAGGGTGAAGCGGCCGCCAGGTTCTCCGCCTGCCTTCAAGGCGCGTTACGTTGCACGAGGTTTCAGTCAGCGAGAGGGAGTAGACTTCTTCCAGACCTTCTCCCCCACCCCGAAGATGACCACTCTTCGGGTGCTGCTGCACGTTGCCGCTCAGCGAGACTACGAGCTTCACTCTCTTGACTTCAGCACAGCCTTCTTACAGGGCAGCCTGCACGAGGAGATCTGGCTGCGCCGCCCACCTGGCTTCACTGGGTCGTTCCCTCCTGGTACCCAGTGGAGCCTCAGGCGACCGGTCTACGGTCTCCGCCAGGCGCCACGTGAGTGGCACGACACATTGAGGACGACACTTGCGGCTCTTGGGTTTGCTCCGTCGACTGCTGACCCGTCGCTGTTTCTGCGCACCGACACTTCGCTGCCGCCGTTCTACATCCTCGTGTACGTCGACGACTTGGTCTTTGCCACTGCTGACACTGAGGCTCTCGCCCAGGTGAAGTCGGAGCTGCAGAAGAGACACACGTGCACAGACATGGGTGAGCTGACAAGCTATCTTGGCTTGCGGATCACCCGGGACAGAGCACGCCGCACCATCACACTGACTCAGTCACACATGGTGCAGCAGGTCCTTCAGCGCTTCGGCTTCACCTGGCCCTCGGCACAACACACTCCTCTGGGTACAGGTCACTCGCTCTCAGCTCAACCTTCGGACGAGTCCGTAGAGCCGAGTGGTCCTTACCCAGAGCTAGTGGGCTGCCTCATGTACCTGATGACCTGCACTCGTCCTGACCTTGCGTACTCTCTTGGCCTTCTGGCTCGCTACGTGGCTCCTGGTCGGCACCGAAAGGTGCACATGGATGCTGCTAAGAGGGTACTACGCTACTTGTGCAGTACATTGGGCATGGGGCTCGTGCTTGGAGGGCGGAGCCCAGTTGTCCTCACTAGGCACTCAGACGCTTCTTGGGTTGACGACCAGGCTACGCAGCGGTCGTCACAGGGTTACACCTTCAGCCTTGGCTCTGGTTCGGTTTCTTGGCGTTCTACACGCTCGTCTTCAGTTCTCAGCTCCAGTTGTGAGGCTGAGATCTACGCCACAGCCATGGCTGCACAGGAGTTACGCTGGCTCACCTACCTGCTGACCGACTTGGGAGAGAGGCCTCGTTCTCCTCCAGTGCTGTACGTCGACAACAAGGCTGCCATTGCCTTGTGTCAGGAGCACAGACTGGAGCACAGAACGAAGCACATCGCTCTGCGTTACTTCCTTGCTCGAGAGTAGCAGCAGCGTGGTCAGCTTCGTCTTGCTCACATGGCCACTCGGGCCAACACTGCTGATATATTCACCAAGGCACTTCCACCTGGTGATCATCAGCGCTTTTGTACATTGTTAGGCCTTGTGCCCACGTTTCCTCACTTGCTGTAGACTTTGCTTGTACAGTGATATATATATATATACCTGCATGCTTGCCCTTGCTAGGTAGTGATTACTGTGTTGCTGTTGTTGCATATATACCTCTGCATGTGAACTGGCCTTGTGGCCCTCTGCTTGTGCTCAGTGTGTGTGGTGACGTTGTGATCCACCCTGAGCTTGCTTTGCTTCTCTTGACTGGTCTTGTGACCCCTTGCTCTCCCCCACTTTGCCTATGGGGGTGTGTCAAAGTATATGCATGTTATATATGTGTAGGCTGTAGTGGGGTAGCCAATATGGGGTACAGCCCCTTTTAGGGTTTCATACTTGTACCCAACTCTTTCATAGTTCATCCATTCCTGCTGCTTGATTCTGACATTGGATCGTGATGTTGGTTCCGTACGTCCATATGCCAGTTGACAGTTGCTAGTTGACAGTTGACAGTTGACAGTGGTCGTACGGTTGAAAGTTGTGTCCATGTACGCATGCCTGACTAATGAAAATTTCAAAGCGCCAGATGTACATTTAGCTGTTTTGAAATTTCGTCGTGATGCTAAGCGATGCTGTGTTTCGTGTGCGACACGGGGTCCAAACTCAGAATCGCCAGCCAATCAAATGGCGTTTAGGCACACCCATAACTGGCATGTTATTGGTACATGTCGAACAATCACCAACAAGGACACGTGGCAAAATATCTGGATACACGTGGACGCTATTCGGTACCAGCGTAGTGACTGTCCGGTCACTTTTGTGTGACTGCAGCTGTGACGTCATTGTGACTTTTGCGTGACAAAATGGGGACTTTGCAGTGACATTTTCGTGACCCGCTAGGTTACCTTGGCCCGGTACTTCCAACCATCACCTTTTTCTACCAAAAAACCGTATACCTAAATGTGACGGAAAAGTCACAAATCCGTCACTTTCGGCCCTTGTCTTTTCCGCGATGATAGGCACAGAAGAGACAAGCAGGTGTAAGGCACGGGAGCCTGGAAAACTCGAAAGGGCAGAGGCTTAAGGATGGAGAGCAAGGAAACAGGCGAAGGGAAATGAGGGTTAAAAGTGGAAGCACTTAGGTACAGATCTTACCTTGGAAAGGACAACTCACGAAGCTTGAGTATTATCACACAGCTTTTGCTATGAAGTACAAAGTTTGACATATCACGCAGTTTTGCGGCATACACATGGCTACAAGTGAGTTGAGAAGGGGAAAGAGTGTAGGTAGAAGAGTGGCGCAGGGAGTGCCAGGTACACAAGGGAGTGAGGAACAGGGAGGTGACGTTACTTCTGAGGCGCCTCAAGAGAGGTTGGAATGGGGAGCAGTGTGAGGAGAAGAGTGGAGCAGGCAGTGGTACACATGGGATGACTTTCTAGGTGCAGTGGTACATGAGTGGAGCATGCAATGTTCATTTAGGCACCAAAAAAGCGGGACAAATCATGAGGCGCTTAAAGAATGGCAATGAGCATGAGGAAAAGAGCGGAGTGGACAGGTGTGCACAAGGGAGTGGGGAAAAACGAAGGAAAAGTGGGGATACTTCTGAGGCGCCTCAAGAGAGGTTGGAATGGGGAGCAGTGGGAGGAGAAGAGTGGAGCAGGCAGTGGTACACATGGGATGAATCTCTAGGCGCCCAGGCAGTACATGAGGGATGTTCATTTAGGCACCAAAAAAGCGGGACAAATCGTGAGGCGCTTAAACAACGGGAACGCGCATGAGGAAAAGAGCGGAGTGGACAGGTGTGCACAAGGGAGTGGTACACATGGGATAAATTTCTAGGCGCCCACGCAATCAGCGCCCAGGCAGTGGCGCACAGGCAGTGGCGCACAGGCAGTGGCGCACAGGCAGTGGCGCAGTGTAACATGAGGCATGCTTGTTGAGGCGCCTCAAAAGCGGGACACATAATCAGGAGCCTAAAAAATGGGAAGGGGTATGAGGAGAAGAGCGGAGTGGACAGCTGTGCATAAGGGAGTGGGGAAAAAACGAAGCGAGGAAAAGTGTGTTGGGGATACTTCCGAGGCGCCTCAAGAGAGGCGAGAATGGGGAGCAGTGTGAAGAGAAGGGGAGCACAAAACAAGTGAGGAGATGGGGAGCAGTGTGAAGAGAAGTGGAGCACAAAACAAGTGAGGAGATGGGGAGCAGTGTGGGACAGACAGTTGTATAGGAAGGGAATGAGGAAAAGGGAGGTGAGGTTAGGGGAAGTGAAGAAGGGAGAGGGGAGGGAGGGGAGTAATGGAAGGGGAGCAAGGGAGCAAGTGAGGGAAGGGAATTTGAGAAAATGGGTAGGGCAGGTTGTAAAAAATAAGTGTGCTTGGAGTAGGCTGTGAGAAGAGAGAGCATTAGGAGGTGTGGGCAGGTATAAAAGGTGACTCCTCGGTTGGGGGAAACGAGGGAAGGGGAGTGAGAGCAGGGGAATGATTGAAGGGGAATGAGAGTAGGAGGATGAGGGAAGGGAAGTGACGGAAGGAGAGAGAGGGATGGAAGGAGAGATGAGGGATGGGGAGTGAGAGAAGGAGAATCAAGGAAGGGGAACGGTTGAAGGAGCACGAATTAAGTGGAGTGAACGAGAATGAGGGAAGGGGAGTGAGAGAAGGAGATTTGGGCAAGGGGAGTGAGGGAAGGGGAGCGGGGGGAGGGCAAGTGAGGTAATGGCAAGTGAGGGAATGGTTCGCATGAGGAGGTGAGAAGGGTGGAGAAGAGTTACCAGTACCCAAGGGTGTGAAGAAGGGGCTGAGCGGATGACAGGAGCATGAAAAGGGCGATGGGAAGGAGCGATATGACTCTTGTGGAGCGATATGGCTCTTGTTACAGTACAGGTATTGATCCATGCTCATGAATTAGGATGCTGCTGCTGGTGCTGCTGCTGCTGCTGCTGCTGCTACTCTGTTGCTGCTGCAAAAACGGGAACCAGTGTGAGGAGGGGTGGGGGACTGAGGATAGGGAAGTGTAATATTTGTTCACACGACAAACAAGGTTACTTAAAACTAAATCCCCAAAAATTATACAATTACCAACCTTTCACACGTGGCATTGGTCACGTTGGGAAGTGTTTTTTACTGTCGGGAGGGAAAATGAGCATGGTGTGTGCGCACGCGCGCGTGTGTGTGTGTGAGTGTGACTGTGTGTGTGTTTGTGTATGTGAGTGAGTGTATGTGTGTGTGTGTGTGTGTGTGTGTGAGTGTGAGTGTGTGTGTGAGTGTGAGTGTGTGTGTATGTGTGAATGTGTGTGTGAGTGTGTGTGTGTGTGAATGTGTGTGTGTGTGTGTGAATGTGTGTGTGTTTGTGTGAGTGTGTGTGTGTGTGTATGTGTGTATGTGTTTGTGTGTGTGAGAGTGTGTATGTGTGTGTTTGTGAGTGTGTGTGTGTGTGTGTGTGCTTGTCTCTGGGTGGCATGAGCGTGTATGCGCTGTGTGCATAATGTGTCTGGGGGCGTGTGCGTGTTTGGCATGAGCGTGTGCGTCTCAACCGCCACCTCTCCGCTGAGATCCGGCGCTGCTACCCCCACCGTTCCCCCCGCCGCTCACCCCGTGGTATGAGCGTGTGCGTCTCAACCCCCACCTCTTCGCTGAAATCGGCCGTTACTACCACGCATGCGTGTGAGAGTGTGGTATGAGCGTGTATGCAACGTGTGTGCATAATGTGTCTGGGGGGGTGTGCATGTTTGGCATGAGCGTGTGCGTCTTAACCCCCACCGCTCCGTTAAGATCCGGCGCTGCTACCCCCACCGTTACACCCACCGCTCCCCCCACCGCCCCCCCTCGCCGCTCCCCCCACCGCTCCCCCTCGCCGCTCCCCCTCTGAAGCGCGCCGATCCATAATGTGTCTGGGCGGGTGTGCGTGTTTGGCATGAGCGTGTGCGTCTTAACCCCCACAGCTGCGCTGAAATTCGGCGCTGCTACCCCCACCGTTCCCCCCACCGCTCCCCCCGCCGTTCCCCCGGCCGATCCCCTTCTGAAGCGCGCATGCGAAGCCACCTCGCAGTAGCTGATCTCCCGCGCGTTTTCCATGCGCCACTACCACAGGGTTGAGAAAGGACAAACCCTAACCGAGGGGGGGATCGGCGGTACGTCCATCCCCTGTGGTGGTTATCAGCATTTGAATAAAATGTGTTGAAGCTACACTGGCCTGGGGCTGCCTTGATGCGTGAAGCTTCGGCCGTGAAGGCAGCCTGTGCGTGTAGCGAGCCAGTCCATAACGAGAAATTCACAAGGAATGGGTAGTGCGACGAGCGACGAACGCTGAATGGCGACAGTTATTACGACAGTGCATGCGACGGTACGTGCGACATCAATTCTTGAGACATGACATGCGAATATTTTCGCTACATTGACTTGCACCAAGACCAGAACTCCCCAATGGTGAATTGTCGAGCCGCGAGGAACAGTGGCGAAGAGATGACGAAACATTATGTTCGGGCGAGTGGCGACGTCACGAAGCGGAGAACCTTATGGCAAAAATTGGTAGGATTGCGTTCAGCAGATCTACTACTGTACTAGTAAAGAGAAGCTTGGGTATGGTCGTATGCCATGAAGCCTGCTTATGAAAGGGAGATGTATTGTTTTGCAATTTTCACCTTTGCAACCTTCTAGCAAGTCAGCTCATGTCGGAACTATGTGTAGCTTGCACAACCTGCCAAGCCTTAGGGCGTGGAACATTGTAACGACCACGCCAAATGGTCGGATGTATGGTTGTTTCTGGCGATTGCGAAGAATTTAGGGAAACCGCATTGACTGGCACGCATATTAGTCACCCTGACTTGACCTAAAATCAGTGGTATCTCCCGTACGTTTTTAGGGGTCTCTACCCACACTATCCATTAAAAGGGAACAATATTTTACTTCCAGTAATTACCCCCGAATGTGTTTGACTCATTTCCGCTCCCCCAAACATCCCACACCGCTTTCGAATGCTTAAAGTCGAATTTAAATGTTTCTGATTATTGGGGGTGGTTTTTAGTGGGTGCCCTACGTTCTGGCGAACAGAATCACATAGAAATCTCGCAACCTTCGCAGCTCTGTTACACCCTTCGCTTTCGCCTGACGCAACCATATGGGCGACCATTTGACATGGTCGTTACAATGTTCCACGCCCTTATTGACCTCCCTTCCCCATGCTATTTCATCAGCAAACTACACAATGTGCCAAGCCTGGTTGACCTCCCTTCCACACGCGATTTCAGCAAACTATCTCGCCAGAACCTCCATTCCACTGTTCGTTTTCCTAGCTACCTGCAGATACAACCGACCACCTGAGATCAGGCCTGTAGTGTCCTTCGAATGGCCCGGAAGGACGTCGCAACGCATGACGATTTTTAGTAGCTTGAAGAAACCGAAACTTCCTTTCCTACTGCTATTTACTTGAATAAACCCCGACAGTTTCTAACAATCCCCCTCGCAATCCTCCCAGGCACCGCTACTAAACAACTTGTTTAATAGTGTATAGCACACCGTGACAGCGCCTGCGAAAACTTTCACTTGTCAAAATTCCAGCGTAAATAAATGAACACTTCCCGTCCCGAACCGCTTCAATCGCGACAGATTCCGAGTCAATCGTGATGATTATGCTTCTCTGTTTCACCAGCGAGAGCAGTATGATGAGCAGCACCATCTTCAGTCTCATATATACGTCTCTGTTTCACGAGCCCGTTTCTCAATCCTTCCGTCCTTCCTCTCTCTTGTCCCGTCAGCAATGGAGCATCGCCGTCTCTTCCCCGTCTTGCTCCTGCTCCTGCTCTCCGTCTCGCTACTTCCCCTCGCTTCCTCTCTAAGATTCCCGTGGCAGACTAACCGTGCGGTTGAAAAAGTGCCGTCACGTGACGGTCGCCCAAAGCCACCAAAGCAACTCGACGAGCAGGCTAACCGTGACGGTAGCCCGAAATCCCCACAGCAACTCGACTGCAGGTTCGTCGGGACTCTTTAAAGTACGCCAGTAAACGATGTGTTATTTCTAGGGTTGGAATAAGTGAACGGGATTGCGAGTGAACTAGGGTTGTCCATGCATTCCTCAAATCGCGTGAATCGTCACTAATCTCGTGAATCTCGTGTAACAATTCCTCCCTTATTTCAGCAAGACGTCGTGGCCCGAGGTGCTCGGTATGACGGGCGACGCGGCTCGCACTTACATACAGTCGTCTGTGCCGCAGTGCGACTGGATTATAGAGATCATCCCGAGTATGCACAGAGTTCCCATGAATTACCGCGACGATCGGATTCGCATCTTCCTGGACTCAGGCAGGATTGTTCAGAGAGTTCCCATCGTTGGGTAAAATCTGGCACTGTATAATGGGATGGACAGTGCGGGTTTGTATACTATTGTAGTCAATGGTAACTGGTTAGGCACAAATGTTGGTTTAGAACTGGACAGTTACCACAAGTGTATTTTATCCATGAGAAAAAGTGTTCTACATCACCTGTCAAGATAGTCTTGCAGTTTGATTGGGTACATTTTTGGATCAGTGTTGATCGTGTCAAATATATAATATGTGGTATAGGCTGTAGTGAGGTGCCTTCTAGGGGGTACAACTTTTAGGTTTGCATTTTGTACCCCATCCTGTTTCTAGTTCACACATTCCGTTGTGTTCCTACTTTAAAACCGGAGTCTCACAGGTTTCGAAGTTAGGAAGGTTGGTTGAGGAAAGAGCACCAACTGGCTCGCGAACTAGGGAGGTGTCGAAATAGGAAGCCGAGGGTCGTTGAGTGATGTACTGGTCGCGAGGGTTACCAGATCCCGAATGCAACTCTTGAACCCTTTCGCGTAGAATTTTGGTTCATCGGAAAAAAACTGGGCGAAATCGCCACGGCTGTCGTCGTCGCCAGTACAGTAATTCCGGGTTGCGAAATTCGTTCCCACCTTTCACGAAGTTGACAGTTTCCAACCAGGTTATTCCCAACCAAAGTTAGGAAGGTCGAGGCAGTTTTGGGCTGTTTGGGACTCCGGTTTTAAGATGGTATCTGTTAGGTTCGTTTCCTAGCCTAGCCTAGCCCGTGTTCGCGCCCTCCGCGCCCTAGCGCTCTCCGCGCCCTCCGCGCCATAGCGCCCTCCGCGCCCTAGATCCCTCCGCGCCCTCTGCGCTCTCGCGTCTTCCGCGCCCTCAGCACCCTAGTGCCCTCCGTGCCCTCCGCGCCTAGCCAGCTCCTTCACCAGCGCCCGAGCCCTAGCGCGTCGCCCCGGCCCGCGCCCTAGCCCGTCGCCCCAGCCCGCGCCCCAGCCCGTCGCCCCAGCCCGCGCCCCAGCCCGTCACCCCAGCCCGCGCCCCAGCCCGTAACCCCAGCCTGCGCCCCAGCCCGTCACCCCAGCCCGCGCCCCAGCCCGTCGCCCCAGCCCGCGACCTAACCCGTCGCCCTCGCCCGCGACCTAACCCGCGCCCTAACCCTAGCCCCAGCCCGCGCCCTAGGCCGCGCCCTGCCCTAAGCCGCACCCTCGCCCTAGGCCGCTACCTCGCCCTCAGCAGTGCCCTAGCCCTAGGCCGCGCCCTGCCCTGAGCCGCGCTCTGCCCTAGGCCGCGCCCTGCCCTACCCGCGCCCTCGCCCTTAGCCCGCGCCCCTGCTCTAACCCTAACCCTAGCCCAAATTGATCGCGTGCCCTCACCCTCGCTACCCGAGTGCGCCCCACTCTGCCCAACCGTTGGCCCCTCCTCTTAACCTATTCCCCGGCCCCACACCATTCCTACTGCGGTTGGCTTCCGTTTCAGCGGCTGGCAGCCGCTCTTCCCACTGGTAGCGCGACTTGGGACTGGGTAGATTCCCACTCCTAGACTAGTTTCCTCCGACTGTCTCTAGTCTATGTCCAGCTGGCGTCTCTAGCTGTCTCTAGTCTCTCTTCTCGCTCCTAGCTCCGCCCGCTCCGTGCTCCAGCCGCCTCTAGCCTAGCCTCCAGTATGGACTCCCGCCGCCTTCGTTTCGATGCGGAGGGATGCTTGATAGAGTTCGGCACCTGGCTCCGCCAGACTCAGCGCTACCTCACCAGTCAGCGCCAGGACGGCGCCACCTTGTACGCCCACGCGTCCGGCGCCCTCCAGCCCCCCCCGCGTCCCGAGCCCCTCCCTGCCGTGCCCCACCGACTCCGGAGGCGCAGGCGGACTACACTCGTCTCGTTTTGGCGCGGGACGTTTGGGACTCCCGTGACGCTGCGGCTGCACTCGCGCTGACCGAGCTCCTTCCACCGACTGAGGCCGCTCACATCGACCTGGTAGAGACTGCAAAAGGAGGTGTATGATGCTATTTCTACACGCTATTCCACCCCTTCCTCTGCCTCCCTCAGCCGCATCCTCATGCCGTTTGTGTTTCCCTACCTCGGATCGTTTGCGACTGTCTCCGACCTAGCCACACACTTGCGCTCCCTTGTCGCTAGCTACCGAGCAGCTTGCACTGAGGCTCAGCTTCTTGTTGCCCCTCCTCCTATCTGGCTCACTGTCCACTGGGTAGTCACTGGTCTCCCTGTCCGCCTCTCCATTGCCCGTGACGCACTTCTCCAGCAGCACCCCAGTGAGCTTACGATTGATCTTCTCGAGACCACTCTCGGGAAGATCGAGATTAACCTCCTCTCTGTTGCCTCAGCCACTGACGCAGTTGCTCCTCGTCTGTTTGAGGGGTGTGCTGTCCCCCAGCTTCCTACCTTCACTGCTACTCGTGCCTCTCCTGCTGTGTCGGTATCTGAGGACACTGCAGCTGTTTCTGCCGCTGACAGGCAGAAACGAGGCAAGGGAGGCAAGAAAGGGGGAAGGGGGGTGGTGGCGGTGGAGGAGGTGGCGGTGGTGGAGGCGGCACTGGGGGCGGAAGGAGGGAGCTCTGGAGGAGGTGCTGACCCGCCTTCTGGAGGAGGTTCGACCAGTGGTGGTGCGGGGCCCCAGCAGCAGCAGCCACAGCAGAGACAGTAGCAGCAGCAGGGACAGCAGTAGTGGCAGGCACCACAGCACTTTCAGTCGTGGGATCCCCACTGCAATGGGGTCCGCAGCAGCACTGGGGCCCTCCGCCGGAGTGGGGACCTGGAGGACCCGGGAGCACTGGCC